GGTGAATTATTGGGTGTTCTTTCACAATCGCCCCTTTGGACCAATAGGAACAGTCGCTCCCAGTTCAATTATCCCTGGGTAATGGGCTTGCTCTGTGAATAACTGACTGTCGGTGGTAATATGATTACAGCAGTGTCCCCATTTATTGCACCTAATCCTTCAGCCAAAGAAGTGCATAATTTTCACTGTGATACTTGTGCTACTGCTGAGACTTTTTTTTAGACCTTAAAATTCATGCTCAGACCCATAGAATTAGCCCCTAGTGATTGACTGTCACCTACACTCTGTCTTCCCATTCCCAGTTCTTTCATAACTGGCTTTTTAATGTGAGAAGCAGGGTTTCTTTGGTAATATCTTGCTTCTCGCATATTCCCTGGACCATCCTGGCTACGACAGGACTGTGAATCTACTGCAGCGGGCTTTCTCCATGTCATGCCTCTGAGTTAGCAGCTCCAGTGTGTGCAGGGAATAAAGCAAGTGAGGTTATTCTCACTCAGTGACCTGGCCTTCTAGATGAGGCACATGAGATCCAGGGAAATGTGCAGGCAGAAGTGCTGCTGCTGCTGCATGAAGTTACTACACCCTCAAGCAGGTCTTAAAGCTTTGGCCAGTGCAAAGCACAGCTGCTTGTTTAGCTGGTGCAAAATGCCACATCTGGAGCATCACATTGCAGCCCTGCTCCAGAGTCTCAGCTGGCTTCCACAACGTGTCTGGTTGCAATTCAAGGTGCCGGTGGGAGCAACAGGGGGTGTTGAGAGCCCTTCTTTCAAAAAATCAGCTCCTCAATTTCCATGCCGCGAATGTGAATTTAGGAACCTGGGCAGACAAAGTTCTTTGAGTAAATCTGATATCTTTTATTAGACCAACTCAAATATTTGAGTTGGTCTAATAAAAGATATCAGATTCACCCAAAGAACCTTGTCTGCCTATGTCCTTAGACTAACACGGCTGCAACCTACACCCCTGTAATTTAGGAACCTGGATTTTGATTTCCATTCTTGGAAATCATGCTCTTAGCTACTTCCATACCTAGCCTGGGTTATTTCCTCCAACCTGTAGGAAAAATCTAGCTGTCCAGTCAGCCCTAATACAATTTCATTTTATTACTGTGCCTTCATACCACTTTAGAGGCAGGTTTTAAACGCATTTCTACCTTCATGTCTTATTTATTTTCCTCGGTGGTTTCGCTCCACTTTTGTTGTTTTATTTCCAGCCCATTTAGTTTGGCTCATAAAGTTAATATCACCTGCACAGCAACAGGTGTATCATTATAGTGACCTCATCTCCATTTTAGAAACATGTGAGGAAAACAAAGCCTCTTGCATTGGGTTGTAATGAAAAAAGGCCACGTGTAACATCCTGGAGAAACGTGCTGATCAGCACTGTTAGTTCATTCTTGGTGTGGCCTGTCCAGGCCAATGTCATCGTTCTGGAAAAAGCTTTCCTAAGGTTTTAGTTCTGTACCTTCAGGTTCGTACTGTTTGAAGCGGTCAAATCACCCTTCTCCCACCTTCCTTTGCCTTTGTGACAGCCACCCCCGGCTGATGCCCAGGGGACCAAAACTCTGACTTTCAGGGCTTAAAAGGCTGAGAGGTTTCATGTCCTCTCCATCCCTCTGTCCACCTATATGCTACAGGGAGATGCTTGTAACCTGAAGGCCATTGGATCTGCAGCAAGAAGGGGCAGAGGAGGCCTATTGATAATGCATGTCGATGCTTTAAATACTTGACTCACGTTTCTCTGTTTGACATCACAGTTATGGCTTGGGAAAATACAATTTAGCAGGTAGAAATGGAGAATCAGATGCTTGAAGTGCTCCTTGTGCACCATCTGCAAGTCCTTTCTAAGCCCTTGGTCTGTGGATGGTCACTTGACATCCACTGGAATAGACCAGAGACCACCTCTTGAGTGATGGTGCACCCAAGGCAGGTGTGGCTGGTAGAGCCTGGAGTGGATATTTTGGAGCTATGCAGAGACGAAGGTCAATGCAGACCTCACCACCAAGATGCAATGCAAAACTCATCTATGGGCAGGGGCTTTCCTTTGATAAGAGGTGCTGCTAAGTGGAGCAGTGACAAAATGGCCTTCTTCAGGTGATGCAGCAGTACCACAGAGAATGGAGTTCCTTTGTCAGCACGCACGAGAGGCTGCCTACTCCTTGCTGTAGATGCCTGGATATCATCATGGTGTTGGGCACGTTGGAAATGTCCACCATTGATAGGGAGACATCTGGGCATCTAGGTTTCCATACACATATTTTGAAGTGCTCTGTGAAGGGGGGCATGCCCAGTGGTATCTTAACAGGACAGCGGTTCATCCCCGATGTAGATGGACATTCCTAGCCTGAGGTTCACCTGCTTTGTATTTGGAATGGATTTAAACGCTTTGGATGGAGCATGGCAGTGTCTCTTCTTAGGACATGGTATGACAGTAGGCTACTGCTTGCCCAGAACAGTCATAACAAAGCATGTGATACCGGGGCCTGTGTTAAAAGGGTCATTTTAATGATCAGCCTACTGCCTTGCTTTCTTCCTTGTTGAGGGGGGTTGGCTGATCCCTCACCTACAGAAGGGTGATGTGCGATAAGGTTGACTTGTGGCTGCTAAGGTTATGTTACAGGTACAGCAATAATTGGAGCTGCTGAAAACTGTGTTGATTGTCATGGCACTGGGTAGGAAATGCTCAGAGGGTTTATTTACCCATTGTGAAAAACGCCTGCACTCATCATGTATGGTGCAAATAGAGATTCTGTTTGGGGAGATATACAACATGACTCCAGGGAAAGACAGGCCATTATCGCAGTGCAAACACATCCCTCGAGCTGCAAGCTGAACACCAGGGGAATCGAATGAGACATGCTGATTAGGGTAATTAATGTTTGCCTGAGTATCCAGGCATGAAAGCAAAGGCTGGGATGGCTGGAAGAGGAGGCTGAGGGAGGGGAAGACCATGCCAAAATAAGCCTCTGCATGCTGGTAGCAGATACTTGGGCTTTGTTCTCAGTGACCTGCTTTCTCTGCTATTGGGCACGTTCTGGGCTTGTTGGACTCTGAAGCCATGCAGGGTAGATCAGAGGTGCCACAGGGCTGTTTTAGCCTGGGTTCCATTCCCTGTGAGCCCAGAGCATTCAGTGCAGCACGTTTTGCTGCACCTCTGCCTTGCCTCCAAGCCACCCCATACACAGGGAAACCAGGAGCGAGGTCTGTAGAGCCTTTCCACCACCTCTGTACTGGCTAAGGAGGCCTCCTGTATAGGAGGAACCCTATGGGGGTTTTTCAACTCGGAAACCTTGTCCCTTGGCATAACAAGACTTTACAAACATCCCTGAGACAAGAGTCCTGAAGCCTTTCGTGGGGGCCCTTTTCGGATGCTGAGTACCCTTTTGATAAAGCAGTGTTGAGGGTGTGTGACGTCCGAGTGGGAGGTGAAACAGCAGCAGCTGGTCTCTGCTATGGGTTTTTTCCCCTCTTTGCGTCCTCATCTCACTCTGAAATGCATGCAGTTTGCATGGGGCTGGTTCTGCCTACTTTGGCCTGGTCTGACTCTGGCTACCCCTGGGGTCACCCCTGGCTTCCCCCCCAGCCTGGACCAACTACGGTTGCCACGTGTCTGGCCGACTCAACCTGCCTAGCCACTTCTCAGTGCAGCTGAAGTCAGTAGGAGTTCTTCCATAGACTTTGGTTGGGCATTTTGAATGCACGCTCTTCCCTGGGCTTGAGTGTAAAGACATACCACCTGTGCTGGCTTCTGTTAGACCTGTTCCCTTCCATGCCACATATCCAGCACCTGCAAACTGTTTGACCCAGCAAGTCACAAACAAGGTCGAGATGTTGGCTTTATTTATTTTGCCGACATTCTCCTGCTAGTACCGCTACTTCCCTCTGAGTCTGAGAAACCCTGCCTTTTCCATGCCTTTGAAACCTACATTTCCATTATCTTCTGTGCTAGTGCAAAGGATAGAAACCTGCAGCTTTCATTTAAGTGAAAAAATGATCCTCCAGTACTTGAGTGACTCCAGGAGCTGGGCTTTGAACACACCAAACACTGCAGTATTCAAAGTAAAATCACAGAAGGTAGCAGTGCTCTTAGCATGTTAGAGAGCAAGGGAAAAAAATTGGACTCCATCCACTCAAGGGAATTGGGGCTATACACAAACTTAATTAAGATTAGAGTCCCACTCAGACTGGATAGAACATTTTCTAAGGGATTCCGATTATCGTTTGGACCAAAGATGTGTGAGGCCTATTAAAAACCTTTACTTAACTTTAATTTAATTACATTTCAGTGTTCACAATGATCGTTCTAAAGGCCTTTTAAAAAGTGTCTCACATGGCAGTGACTTCTTCAGAAAGAATGTGCACCAATCAGCAAAACCTGCTACCCTTTCTCTGTGCTCAAAGTTATTTTGAAGTGTGTGTGTCTAGTACTTTTCCCTCATCAGTTCTGATCTTCCTCCCAAATTCCTACTCTCAGGCTTCAGATGTGAATCATTCCAGAGCACGTGTCCAACATGTAAAAATATTTGGTTTAGAGTGCGGGGGAAGAGGGAAAGGGACAAGATAACCCAGCAGATCTTTCCCAACACTCAGCTTCTGTGCTTCAGGTTTTGCAGCCTCAAGCACTTTATATGGACAAGGCTGCTGCCAGAAGGCTGCTGCCAGAAGGGCCTGGGTGTGATAAAACTCTTGCTTTGAAGAATGGAACAACTGCTTTTAAACATGCAATGGAGAAACTTTAATATTTTTAGCCCCATGCCCTGGGTTCCAAGTAGAAGTAACTGCATCATTCACTGCCCTGGCACTTTGTTTTTCTCAGGAAATAATCAGAGCAACTGAGGAGCCATCATCTCAGATTAGCTCTGGAGAATAAAAACAGATCCTGACTCTTCCTTCCTAATTCCTTTCTCATGTTCCAGCCTCTGAACCCCAGATCGCCCATAAAGATGCTCATAAAGCTATTAATATGATGCTTCAATTAAAGACCCGTTTTCTTTCCCACAGTTTCACACAAGCGATGAAGAGCCAACCAAAGCTGGAAGATTTGGATTGCCTTTTTTCCTACTATGTGGGCTTGGTCCTCCTGGGAATAGGAACCTTATTTGTCCTCTCCAGTTTCTTGGCATTGGGATTCATCGGGACTTTTTTAGGTAAGGTTGCCATTGTCATTGGCTGCAGTGCAGAGTTTTCTTGTGGCGTGTGCCCTAGGCAGGCCAGGAATTTCAAGGTTAACTACTGACTCATAGTAACTTAGTGGTTCAGTGATCCCTGAAGGGGATTCTCAGGATTTGGATTTCTTTTAAGAGGTCTCTGGTGGGACAGCAGAAATAAAGCCACTCAGGATCACAAGCTCTCTCGACTATTTTGTGTGTAACAGCCAGGCAGGGCACACATGAGGTGAGTTTCAAAAGGACCTATGGTGATGGAGGTGGCTGCATCTCACTGAGTTTAAATGAGACTGAGGCTCCTAAGTCTCTGAAACACCTTTAAAAAAATGGCCCCTGATCAGAAAGAGTCGGTTTCCAGGAATTCAGCTTTCCAGATCACAAGGCTGCCTGACAGGACCAGCACAACTTTGGAAACCCAGATCAACCATCTGTCCCTCTTACTCCCTACACTTTTCCTCCAAAGCAGTAGGAGAGGAGAGGCATTGTTTTAAAGGAGCCTTTAAGAACAAAGACATTTAAAAGGAGGGGAAAAATAGCATTGACTCAGACAAAGCCACTCTGACTGAAATTAGCCTCCTGAGCTTCCTTCAGGGCCCTCCGCATAAAAGCAGTCCTTTATGTTCTGTTTTGTTAATTAAGAACGTGGCTTCTAAATCCCCTCACATAGAGAGCAGAACAGTCCTAGCAGACAAAGCGGTGATGTGCAGTAATCCTCTGCCTGTTGCTCCCGGAGAAGTATTGGCCTTGGGCCTCTCCTGCAACATGGCAGCCGGTGCCTTGTCCTGGAAAATCTGTTCTTCTGCTGTCATTTCTCACAGTTGGACAAGACTGTTATCCTCATTGTCAAGGAGCTTGCTCTGGACTGTTGGTTACATTTCCCTCCCTGTGCAGCAACATTTAAGTGGTAGAAGAAATGACTCATGCATTTAGTTTGTTCAGTTGGTGAGTAAAACTCTTTAGCCTCTATCTGCATGGAAGGTGTTATATAAATCTGAGATCTATACCATTATCATCCTCCCCTCCTTCTGCCTCTCTATTTTCTATGAATAAGAGCAGCATAGAGGTCTCATGTAATATTTCCTTGTCTTTCTTTGTTGCTGCCTATCAGAGTTACTCTTGGATTTACAATTATCGAGGCTTGATGTCACCAGGATGTTTTCCCTCACCGAGTTGTTAGCTCAGTGATGTTTTTGAATGTGGTTTTATGGGAGTTTTTAGTTCTACTGAACTTTTTATAGAGCATATTTTATATAGTGTTTTGCACAGTACATGTACATGGTACAGCACATACATGGGTGGGTCTGTGGCTGTAGAAAGTACCAAAGTACCAAAGATAGAATTTTCCGCAGTGACTTCGAAATCCAAATCCCATCTGAAAGGCACCTGTGGAAGTCCCACGCTAAGGGCCCAGCTTTGGATTCATGCTACACGCAACCCCCAGCCAACTGAGCTGTAAATGGGTATCTGGTCATTCAGGTTGAGGGGGTCAAGGCAGTTGCCCCTAAGGATAACTACATCACTCCTTGGTGTGCTGATGTCTACAGGAACCACTGTGCCCAAAACAGGCTAACCTTATGGGCCGCTAAGCATGGGAGGACCTATGGCCTTTTTGATGTACAGATTATTCAGGCTTATTCTTAGGTAATACACAAGGGTGGGAAAATCTGTGCCGGCCTTCTCTCCAGAGTCAGTACATCTATTACAGTGCTATGATCCAGTTCTTCCCTCAGTTCTCCCAGAGCAGCCCCATCCCCACTGACGTCAAAGATCATAGGAAGAAGGGGTGGTTGCAGGGGTGATGACAGAGCATGCTCTGAAAGTGTCCATGGATGCTTTTAGGTTGATTGTATATAATAAATGATCTGTTATCTGTATTGCCAGAGTACCTAGGAGCCCAAGTCATGGACCAGATTCCTGTTGCACTAGGCACTGGACAAATGCAGAACAAAAAGGACAGTCCTGCCCTCAGCTGCTTGCAATCAAAGTAAAATGCACTTCCGCCCCAGGGAGGTTGGCATCTCAGCTGAACCTCACCCTGCATATGCAGCAGCTCAACAGTGGATGAAGCAGAAACACATGTCTCTGCCCACCCAGAATTAATATTAAGTTCAGTGGCAGCCCACACACTGATTCAAGTTCACCAGGCATTTGTTTCCTTCACAGTTTTCACGGGTCAGTTCATTGACACTTAAATTCATCCATGGCCATCTAAATAGTCTGACTTCACTTCCTGGTGGGTGGATGCATGGAAAGAATCCTTTCTCCAGCAGCTACTGGCTCCGATAGTAATAATCTTGTCTTTATTGCACTTTTGATCTGAGCCTTTAATCAACATGCTTTACAAACCTAATTAAATTAATCCTTGCAGCATTGCTCCTGCAGGAGAGAGGAGGGAATCCTCATTACTGCTTTGCAACTGGAGACACAGAGGCACAGAGGGATGTATTGACTTGCTGAAGGTCTTGCTACCAGAGGTGGAAGCCAGGAGTCCCAAAGGCATGCTCTGGCCTTGAGTCTGTGCCTCCATGCTCCTTGACAGGCCTCATCCTTATGGTCCCTCTTTCACCTACCCAACACCGATCCCACCTGCTTTTGTCTAACAACCACCTTGTGTGGTTGTAGCTCTTCTACCACCATCTCTGTTTGCAGAAAGGAAAAATCCAATTGTCCCCTGGCATCCTCAGAAGCAGGCAATAAGTTACGGTGGCCTCTCCTCCTGGAGGACCGGGCACCTGGTAGAGAAACTGAAGCTGAGAAAGGCTCAGCCAGTGGGTGTCAGTTTTGTGTGCAAATTGGTTGAGCGTTGTCTCCAAGTGCAGCCAGGTCTGCACTGTTTACGTAAAGCCTGATTCATCACTGACTAGCAGGATCCTTTGGACTTGAGTTTCCAATGAAAAGCAAACAAGTGAGTCAGGTTGAGCATAAATGCAGAGTGACTCTGCTCCCCTCAATGCTGTGAAGAGAGCTCTATCCCGGTGGCTCTCATCTTCCTCTGCCTGCAGGTGAAACAGTGTAGGCAAAAAAACCCCACACAGATAGAGAAGATGTATCCATGCTGATGGCTAGCCTAGCCTGAGCATTACATAATCAAGCTTTGTGCAATCAGGATAGCATTGCTGCTATGAGTGCTCTCCATCAAGGCCGGTGGAGAATGGATGCCTTCAATATTTCCGTGAATTTATCATGACTCAACACCAACAAAACCAAATGAAAATCCTCTCTGCTGACCTTGCAGAATGAGGCTGCTGTGCCTGGTGACCTCCTTTGGTTTTGAAGGAAAACTTGAGCTGTGGGCATCTATTGCTCCTTGGAGAAGGGAATGGAGTGAATTCCCTAGTGGGATTTTTTGACTCCCCTTCTGTAGACAGAGGCTGCATGGAGTGGGCTAGAACAAAACCATCATATCACTTAACCTCTATCCATAGCCTGCGTGAGAGGGAAGCTTGAGAGAGAGCACCCAAAATAACTGGTGCTTCATTCAACCCATCCCTTCATCTCCTACAACAGTGAGGGGCCCATGTGCCTATCTGGTGAAGGAGCTGGACAGACCAAGAAGACAGCTGCTCAACTGGCCATTAGATTCCCCACAGAATAATACACTTTGCATTTTCTAGCAATTGCAAAGAACTTTGCCTTTTGCGCATAGGCTGAGCTGTCTGGTTGGAGCACCGTGAGTCACTCTTCCTAAATGCGTTTTTTCTGTGCCACCCAATTTCCCGCACAGCAGTCTTGGTTCCAGCCCCAATTTTGCAGTGGCTGGGCATGTTCACTTGGGCTCATGCCGCTCCATTTTCTTTCTCTAGTGGAGAATAATCCTTCTCAGCAGTCAGCAAGGCCAGCTCTCCAGCATTTCCTTTCTTCATTGTGCCTTCACAATTGGAGCAATTCAGAAAGTGCTAAGCGCTTGCTGGAATTCTGGTTTAATGCTTGTTAGCAATGCAAGTCAGAAAATAGGGCAAACGCCGTAGCGGTTAATAGTTGCCTTGAAAGAGGTAATGAGGTTTTTCAGGGTGGGGAGGGGTGAAACCCTTTGGAATCCATCTGTCTCACAACGGTCCATTATTCCTCCCAGCAAAGAAAGCAATGACCAAGATGTCAGGTAAATCTGACTGAACCAAACTCTGTTCCCTGGGTTGCATTGAAACTTATTAGTCTCTATAGCGAAGCAGCGGCGGGGCTTTTGACAGCTAGAGCCAAGGCAGTTTGAAGAGGAAGCTGGAGTAGCACATCACAGGGTTCACTATGCACTGAGATCCAAAGACCTCCTGCTTTAGTATCCACTTGATACATCCCCAGCAGGGATGTATAGCTTGGGTTTGTGCAGATATAGCAGCCAGTGGCTCAGTGTAAGGTTCCAGATACCAACCTCCCCCCCACTTTGAGAAGGGGCTATTCCCTGTTTTGGGAGCTTAAGACCCATCTAGTGCTTTGAGCTTCGTAGCGCCACTCAGCACAGGGATAGATTTCAGCCTCTGTGATAGAAGCACTATCAATGATGTGCATTCACAAAGCCCCAGGGTTTGCTTAGGATGTTTGTGTAGAGTTTTACCCATCCCCTTTGGTTGGAAATGTTAGCAGATCGTGTAGTCCTGGAGATTTGTGCTCTGCCCTAGAGTCTACTGGGATGGCAAGGCTGCTAAGTTAGCTCCTTTGCTGGAACTGTGTTGTTTTTTCTTCTAGCTTGAAGCACAACCCCTCCCCACCTCCAAAGCAAACAAAAAAGTTTAGCTACCAGAACAACAGACAAGACTGATTTTAGACCTCAAAGATCTCTCAAACATTTCAATGAGGCCAATCGCCAGCTCAGCTTTACATGGTCCAGGACCCCAAACCCAGTTTACGTTGGAGTCACCCTCTGTCATACCCTGTCATACAAAGAACACACCATGTAGACAAAAGCAAAGGTGAGCACTCGGAACAGCATTCTGTACGAGCTCGCCAACGCAAAATGGGGAGCTAGCCCCTCGAACATCCAAACCGCT